ATATAGAAAACACTTCAGGCCAATATGTTTTGTTTGTAATTGGTTCAATAGCAATATTTGAGATTAAGGAACAATTTAGCTATAAATCATAAAGAATACTATATTCATATAATGGAGCACTATTCTCCTTAAAAATTTACATACAAGTGTATGCTTATTGAATTACACAGAGAAAACATGACATAAAATTGTGCTTTCTGCATCCTCATTGCTATGCTAGAAACACAGAAAAGAAGACTGAACAAAGTATCATGCCACTTTAGATATATCTTTGTACCCTGGTGAAGGGTGATTAGTAAATCTAGGGCATTATTTCCTGACTCTGTATTCTCTAAACTTTATATATTAATATTAGCACCAACTAAGTACTTAGAACTTTTGTTGTGTTAACATACACTCACATAATGGTGCCACCAACACTATCAGCCATCACAGAACTTTTCTTCTTCCTCAAAAGAAACTTTGTGCCCACTAAATCTCTCCTTTTAGCCCCCTACATGCCTGATAATCATTCCACTTTCTGTCTTTATGATTTTTGACTATTAAATACCTCATATGAATGGAATCTCATACAGTAAGGTTCCCTGAAAGTAGATCACCATGTGGTTCAGGCCGAAATGAATTTATTGGAGGAAGAGAAAACCGCTAGCCCATGATGGAGGTGAGATTATGTAGGGACAGGCAGGGAGGTATGACCACAGCAGAAGTGGAATTGACCTCCGAGCCTGGGGAACCTCTCATTGTCCCAGGAGGCATGACTGGGTGGTTCAGGAAGTAATCTCAGAGGATGAGGAAGTGACCTCAGAGCCTGGGTCCTTTGCTGACTCACAGGCAGGTGATTGACAGTGAGGTGATTACTGGCTTCCAGCAGGTGATTTCTGGTAATGCAATGTGCTGTCCTTCACAAACAGGAAGAGAGGAAGAGTCTGTTCTCCTGAGCAGACCTAACACAAAAGGCTTATCCTTTAAATAAGGGGCATATATCTGCATAATGGCTTCATGTGTCAGAATTCCATTCCTTTTTACAGCTGAATACTATGCCATTGATAAGCATATCACAGTTTACTTACTGCTTCATTTGTGACAGACATCTAGGGAGTTTTCAACTTCTGGCTCTGGAAAACACTGGTGTTTGGCTGTCTGTTTGAGATCCTGCTTTTCTTTTTTAATAAGTTTTTCATTGTGAAAATACTGTACAGAGGGGTTACAGTTACATGAACAAGGTAATGAGTACATTTCTTATCCAGCATTTTTGCCTCCTCGTTTTTTCCCTACCATCCCTGCCCTCCCATCTCCACAACTAACCCCCCCCCCGCCCCGCCGCCCTGCACCTAAATTGTAAGTTCATTTTTCAACATAGTGTCTTGTACATAGAGCTACCTCAGCCTCCTAAGGATATGTCAACATATCCAGCTGATTTTGTTTGTTTGTTTTAATGACCTTTATATATTGATGCGCTTCAGAAAACACTGCACTATGTATTAATTTGTGTTCTTGTTACATCCTAGTTATTGTTCTAGAATCCACATAATAGTTCAATCCTTTCAAAATTCTGAAAAATACTATGCCTATTTCATGGATAAATAGATGAGACTTCATTCATTCGGTGAATGGACTTAATACCCATTCACTAATAAGCAAAAACATCAGTATTTATTGCTTTACATATTTTGCTGACTTTTAACCATTTAAGGATATCAGTATCCACATTAAATATCTTTGAAATAATATTTTCCACTCCATTCCTCCTCTAGTCACTTTCTCCTCTTCCTCAGAGTTGGTGATATTAAGATGACAAGAACAAGCTACAACTGTTTGAGAAATAATGTCCATAGCATCTGAGAGAGAACTGAAGCATCGGTCTAAGGTAAAGCACATGAACTTAAGTGCTGACCTCTCAGAATATCTATTTTGGTCATTCAATAGGACCCACATTGCTTAATTTCTAGATTTTTTATTTTCTGGCAAAGTCAACTTTTATGACTGACTTCTGCACAAGGGCTCCCTTTTATGCTACTTATTTTGTGAAATATAATTTATATAATTTTATAAAACATGCTTTCCCGAAGGCAATATCTTTCCAGTATCTGTTACTCTAAAATTTATACTACATATTTTCATAGTATAGCCAAAGACAGAATCATGGAAAAGGGTTTTGGTGCTAAAGGTATCTGATCCTACATCAAAGCGATTCCAACAATAGATTACAGCAATCATTAATATTGTGTATCTTACATGTATTTCCCAGAAGCAGTAAGCAAGAGTTGTGACACAAATAATACAAAATATTAAATATCTAACTCTCAAAAACTAAAATTTATTTATTTCAATGTTGGAGATGTTAGTAGTTAAATACATTTAGCAGTGAGTCCTACTAGATGTCAAGACCTCCCCCCCTTTATTTTTTAAGTGACTCACACACAGACCATATCATTGTCTTTTTCTATAAACTTAAATTTTGATACCACTATATCCATTAAGAAGTAGGTGATCAATATAAGTTTTGAACAATCAGATTTACCATTAATTTCCACTTATAAACTCCAAGAAATTTTACTGCAGAAAAATCAGAGGGTGAAGATAAGGAAAACAAACTAGCAATTTGAACTAGCAGCTGGAGAATGTCTTAATATCTTCTGATTCGAGACACTTGTGGCTAGTAAACACAGCTGAAAGAAAAGAAACAAAGCAGGAGTCATCAGCCTTCTGATAGTGCTTCCCCCAGATGTAAAGGTTTGACCAGACAGAGGGACCCAACACTTATCTCAACATAAGCTTCTGACTAAAAAAGTAATACAGCTAACAGCAATAAATAAAGCCTTAAATTCTCATGATTCAACTAACATGTTGACTTCTTTTTTCTTGGGATCTCAAGTCCCATCCTATTTAACCTACAAACACACTGTAAACTAACTGTATTGGTTATATAAAACAAGGGCCAGGCTGGAAAGGTGGCTCAATGGTAGAGTGCTTGCCTTGCATGCATGAAGCCCTGGGTTCGATTCCTCAGCACTACATAAGCAGAAAAAGCCAGAAGTGGCACTGTGGCTCAAGCGGTAGAGCACTCACCTTGAGCTGAAGAGCTGAGGGACAGCGCCTAGGCCCAGAGTTCAGGTCCATGACTGGCAAAAAAATAAAAATAAAAAATAAAACAAGGGCCTACACCCTCCATGTTCAACTTTATCCACCTACTAAGTACTCAATCCCATTACATCTCCCTGAAGTAAGACTGTATTCTGTGTCTTCTTCTGAACCTTTATTATTTGCTTGTATCATTCATTTTAGTAAGACTTTACATCAATTTGATGTTGTTTGGCAATTTTTGGTAGGTGTTTTGTAGGTGTTGGGTTCATTTTTCATACTACTAAAGATGACTACCGATGTATCAACACTGACAAATCTTTTCCAATGAATTAGTATGAAAACAGTTTAAAGAAGAAAGTGTTGAAGGTGAGACATTCTTCAGAACTGGCTACATCATGACAAACTAGAGCAGTGCCCGAACTGAATTGTGGGTAAGGCCCAGAGCCTGACTTTGTAGGAATTTAATTCTCCTCACGAGGTAATAATTGTTTAGTTGGATAGACATTATTGAAAGCTGATATGCACCCTCTTGATTTAAAGGTAGTTCCTCATATTTTGTGGCAGTCATGAAGTACTGCAAAGACATTCTTGGAGAAAGGCTTTAACATAGACAAACAGTGGAATTAAAGAGTTGGAAATAGCAAGACAGCTACAGGACTTTCATGGCAACAGTAAGTGTAGGGTATGGAAAGTTTGGGCTGGACTTCAACTGGCCATTTTTCATCTACTAGAGATCAAAGAGAAGGAAGACAGAAAGAGAGAGAGAGAGAAGGAATAAAACAGAACCATTCTTCTGGAGCTTAATAAAACTAAGCAGATGTTTTTGTAAGTGTAAATCTCCAGAATCGAGAGCAAAGCCCCACAGTAGACTGAGGTCCCCTGGGGGTGGGGTTCCAAGACATCTGCAGTGGGACTCACAACCACTTCAAGTGAGATGGACCATGTGGAGCGCTTCCCGCCGTTGGCCAGCACGCCCGCAGGTGGACACAGATGAGCAATTCCCTTCAACAATGGACTAATCGCCAGCAAAGACAACACTAGAAGGATATCTAAAAACTCCACCGCAAATAAATTACAAACAAGTGATCACTCTGTCCAACGCCTTTCCCAGAGAGGTGACCCTCCTCCTGGCAATCTCCACCACGGAAGGGCATAAAAATGTCATTTTAATCCCCTTTCCTTGGCTTCAAAAACTCATTATGAAACCTACCTGGCTCAGTCTGCCAATCACTTTTGTACAGTTAGGGACTATTTTCTGGCTCCCTCCTTCCCTCCCTTCTCCTCTTCTTTTCTTTCCTTCCTGATCCCCCCCCTCCCATTTCACCCCTCACTCCACTAAGAGGCTTTCAGACACAGGTGAAATGCATTCGCCAGCATCACCTGGCACCTGAGAGTCAATCTCAAGCCAGCCACAGGTGAATGGAGCAGCAGCAAAGAACACCACCAGGGCTGGTGTGACCAGTTCTTCTTAAATTTCCAACTGTCTCCATCCTCATTCGGCAGACTCTTTGGTAATTCATGTCAGCAGGAGGGCACGGGGACCTTTGGCCTGCCCTTTAGGGTTGACCAGAGCAGCCAAGCTGGAAGTAAGTGAAGATCCTCCCTTCGGCTTTTCTCGGCGGGCGCAGGGCGGCGCAGCGGCCGGAAGGGGTCGCTGTTCGCTCGTGGCAGGCGCGGGGCGGCCCGCACCTCCCACGGCCTGGCTGGCCCAACCCCGCCAAGTTCCAACAGCCCCCAGTGCAGCCAGCGAGCGAGCGAGCGAACGAGCGAGCGCCAGGAAGAAGCGAGCGAGCCCGGGCAGCCACGGACCACGCACACTAGCCGGGCTGGGACGCGCGCTGGAGAGGCTTCTGAGAAACTCTCCGCGCCCCGGGGACTTTGGAAAGAAGAGCGCGAGGAGCGCCACGCGTGCAAGTGTGCAAGAGCGCGCGCGACGCCCAGCACCTGTTCCTCGGCCACGCGCCCTGCCCGCGCGCCTCGGACCCGCGCCTGCCGTGCGCTCGGCCGTGCGCTCCCACCATGAACCCCGCGCTGGGTAACCAGACCGACGTGGCCGGCCTGTTCCTGGCCAACAGCAGCGAGGCGCTGGAGCGCGCGGTGCGCTGCTGCACCCAGGCCTCGGTGGTGACCGACGACGGCTTCGCCGAGGGCGGCCCCGACGAGCGCAGCCTGTACATCATGCGGGTGGTGCAGATCGCGGTCATGTGCGTGCTCTCGCTCACCGTGGTCTTTGGCATCTTCTTCCTCGGCTGCAATCTGCTCATCAAGTCCGAAGGCATGATCAACTTCCTGGTGAAGGACCGCAGACCGTCCAAAGAGGTGGAGGCGGTGGTCGTGGGGCCCTACTGACCGGTCCTCCCGCTCCCCCCACCCCACCCCGGCGGCGGGAGTCCCCAGGCCTCAACCCCCCCAACCCTCACTGCGCCCCTCGCCATCCAAGACCGGGCGACGCAAACCTGTCGGAGTCAAGTGTTTCTCTCGACTTCTGCTTTTCGAGATCAAGCGACCCGTTTCTCGCTCGCCCTCTGAAAGTCCCCGTGCCAGGCTGCGGGGAGGAAGAGAGAGCCCCGACTTCTGAACTCCGCAGCAGGTGGCAAAGAGGGCGATCGGGGCGCGCAGAACTTTGGAAGCCGCTGCTGGCGTGGGAAACGGCGAGACCCAGCGGCCGGAGGCCCTTCTCACCCGCAGGTGGGCCAAGCACTGGGGCAGTTGGAGAGGGGAGCCGAGAGCCATGGGCACCCAACGCCTGGCGGCGGCCGGAAGAGTGACCTGTTTATATGCCACGCCACAGACTTTTGGGGGACACACGAATCCATGTATGTGGATCCTCGCTCCATAGCCTCCCACCCCAGCCCTGGTGGGGAGAGTTGATTCCTTGGATGGATTGTAACCTGTCGTTTTAAGGGATGTCGTGTTAGTTTGCTTGAATACCATAGTGGAGACGTCTTTTAGTGGCCTGTTTGCCTGCTTGCGGGTTAGAGTTTTGTCGTCCTGGGAGACAGGGTGGGGGGAGGGGAGGGGAAGCCTGCGAATGTGAATGGGTTTCTTTTTGTGCATTTCTTCCTGGATCTTTTAGGGAGTTAGAGGGTCTGGGACCAAGACCCAAAATATAATTTGTAGCTCGTGACTGCACGATTTACGCCACAAAAGTGCTCTTGATATACGTGACACCATTTTGACTTTTTTTTCTTATTTAATGTTTCCTTAATAAATGCAACATTGAAGTGTGTTGTTTGTTCCTGGATTTCTGGTGGTCATTCCATCGTCCTGGCCGAGGGGAACCGGCAGCTGAGAGGAGTTTGGAGACCTGAGATTCAACTTCTAGATCCGCAGAGGGGCATGGGGCTGGAGGCAAAGGTGGGGGGCCGGGGAGAGTGAGCCATAGCCAAGCCCCAGGCACAGGAGCCAGGTAAGCAAGCGGGCACAAGGCCCCCAGGGAAGATGAAACTTCCGTGCCTAGCTCCAGTGGGAACACAGGGTTACATGGCTAATGAGAGGAAGAGGTGACTTGGCCAGTCTTTAGTGAAAGCTAATCTCCCTTGGCCAACGTCAGCAAGACCGCTCTGGGATGCTGTGTCAGAAAAAGGAAATTATAAAATGAGAGGGAAAGTAGCTATCAAAGTACGTAACGAGTTTAATTCACCCTGGAGTAAAACCACTGTTAGGAACAGATGAGCTGCGTTGTGCTTGTCTTATTACCTTTTGTAGTGAACGGAAGAGATTAAAAGAGAGCTCTGAAGATAAGTATTTGAAATGATAATTAGCCTTGCCTTGATCATTCACAATGTAGACATGTATCGAAACATTGGATTGTACCCCCTAAATGATACGAATGCTATCTGCCATGTCATTAAAATTTGCAGAAGAGCAGAGAAGGAGAGGGAGAGAGAGCACCTCATTCTATCCTTACAGTTTAGTGTACTGAACCCCAGGCCAGAGCCCCAGGTCAAGCAAAGGGCTCTAAGGAGTTAGTAGAGGTTCTGATGTTAGAGATGAGCATTGCAGTCAAAACTAGGAAGCTTAATCTGGAGTGAAGACAATGATGGGAGGCATGTTTAAGACTCACAAGTAGAACTAGATTGGAAAGAAGAGCCTAGAAAATAGTGCCTGCAATACAATAGCTTCAACTTGAATAGCTTATATTTATGCTCAAGGTCAGATTCTAAATATTTTCTAAAATAAAGGGTTCTCTAGAACTGTACCCATGACTATTTCGAAGACCTTATTATAGCTGGAATTAAGACCTACTAAATAACAAAGTGGCTCCAAAAGAAAGAAGCAACAGAACTGGTATAAGCATTGTCGCTGATGTAAAAGATCTGGAATTTGAGATTTCATGTCCCTTAACATCCTGTCTACTCTAAGTGTCTATTTCATTCTCAAACTTAGGGTCATTTGTTGAAGGTTGATACTGTCTAACGGGGAAAAATGGAACTTGAAAGTTTTGCCTGCTCCTGTCTTTCCCATAGGTAAGGCTTTTCTTATTTGTTTTCATATATAGGGAGGGAGTAGGGTTAAAAGATAGTCAATAAATCATGTGAGTCATAGAAGACATAATTTGAACTAATGTGTGGAAGAGAAAAATGAGACATCTTATTTTGTAGACAATTTCTGTGCAACCAAGGAGTTAAGTCTGTTGCCTCCATGTTTTGAGAAAAGCAAAAGAGAAATCTCCCTGGGATAAACCAGACACTTTAGATATAACCTGTTTTGTGCTGAAACATGCACAGTGTCCTTTGCCATGCAAAGTTATTAACCCATCAGTGAATTCATCGCTCTGATGAAAATTGATTTGGATTAAAAAAACAAATCAAGAGTTTGTGGAAATCTTGCTTTTGTACTCTATTCTATTCAAAGTTCAGATTTAACCAGCTTCAGATACAGGGTAAGGGGAAACTACCAGATAAGTAAAATTGTACAGAAAAGGTTTTCAATGACAGTGAAAGTCCTACAAGTTGAGAAAGGAGTTCTAACACTGGAGACCTCCACTATCTCCTCCCTCTCCATCCTCTTATTTTCTCTGCCCTGCATTTCTAAAACAAAATTTATCATTTCTTCTCATCTCAACTACCTATTTATTCCCTGATCTACAGAACTTGTGATCCTGAGACAGAATAGTACCTGCAAAATTTTGTCTTCAGGTAGAAAAGCTCTATGAACATGGCACTGTCATCTGTGATATATGCATTATAGGGTAATGCACACAGTCTGAAAAGCACATAGCCCTTGGGGACTAGCTCCTGCCAACAACCCTTCTCTGCAGCCCTCAGATCCATTTGTTACTTAGAGAAATGCCAAGTGGTTCTGCTGTTTATGGATGAGGCAAGAAGCTTTTTACACTCCCTGTTCCCTGGTGGCCACCCAGAAACCCCTTTCCTGAGCCCCATACCACCCCCTTTCCCATTCTGCCAGTGACTGTGTGTCTCATTCTAACAAATGCATCCAGTGAGTGCTTCTAAATCTGCCCAGGGTTTATGGAGTGTCAGTCTTTTCCTACAAACATGCTGCAAGGAAAATTGGTTTTGAAAGCCAGTGTATTTCATCTGGAAATCAAACCAGGTAAACACAGGCAGGAATATTCTACCATGCCACACACACAGACTCATCATGTGGTGAGTAATTAGCTGGAGGCACTGGGGGTAGGGAAGGGAGAGAAAGAGAGACAGACAGCCACAAAGACAGACAGAGACAGAGAAAGAGGAAGAGAGAGAGAGAGAGAGAGAGATTCCTGAAAAAGCTGTTCAGTCTAGCATGGACCAGAGGCACTTATCTGATACTTCCTAGAGCCTTTCTGGAAAAACAGAAGACTCAGGAAGAGGTTTTCAGGAGATGTAGCTGACAGATTCATAGGAACTCTGGCTGGATATGCACCCTCTGATACAGCCTTGCCTAATTGAACAGCCTCATGCAAGTAGTCTAACCGGTTGTTGACACAATTTTTTTTTTCCTGAGACTATTGATCAGAATCTCCCTATTTTCTGAAAATGTAGGAAGAACTTGAGTGTTAGATATATTAAGGAGTTCAAAGCCACAAGTGATAGGACTCTGTCAAGTATCAAATCACACTGGCTGAAAAAAAAATCACACTAGCTCCTGTAATTTCTGATTTCCAAGCTACCTGGCTTCCCTCTGGATCCCAAGTCAATTCTGTTACTGTGTCTCCCTATGCTAACTCTGAGTGAGGAAGGGAAAGGTATGCTAGATAGGAAAGACTTGGATTCTGCTTTCTAAGCATCCAGGTAGCTTTATCCTTAAGTAAGAAGAATGAATTATAAAAATATATTCCAATTCTATAATTCTATTGAGCCTTATTTACAATATATTTCCTGGTATCCTAAATTGTTTTATGTATCTCTTCATTATGTGTCTTAAAATGTACCAAATCTGGGGTTTGATCTCAGGGCCTCACACTTGCCAAGCAAGTGCTCTGGCACACCATCCACTCCATCGGTCTCTGTTTTGAACTGGTTATTTTTTGAGTGAGGGTCTCACTTTATGCCTCTTTATTTTATGCTTCCCTGTGTTGTTGGGATGATAGGCAAATGCCACTGCACCCAGCCATTGATTGAGATGGAGTCCCAAGAAGTTTTATGCCCAGGCATGAAACCACAATCCCCTGATTTCTGCCTTGCAAGTAGCTTAGATTATAGGATTGAGCCACTGCATTCAGTTCTAGTCTTGATCTCACAACACACACACACACACACACACACACACACACACACACACACACACACCTCACAAAAGTCAAGTTCTTTTCCTCTTGCGGCAAAATTTCAGACACCTTACCAGACCTGGATAAGACCACAGACCCTCTAATCAGCACTTTACATATCCCAGATTTCTCTGCTCTCATTGGATAATGGCAGGAAAGCAAAGATTAAGTGAACTAAAGAGTCAGTGATTCCTTTAGCTGCACATGCCAATGAGGAGACACTGTTGTTAATAGAGACAATTCCATGATTTGAAGATCAAAAGCCAGTTTTTCTCCCATCAAGCATTTTTCCCCTTGAGCTTCTGCAACATCACACAGCAGCTGTTCCTCACTCAGTTTAGAGCCTTCCTCAGCCCTGGCTTATTGTACCTGTCATGTGAGGGTTTGCAATGCCAGGAAAGGATTCCAGGGTTCAGTTTGTTTTCTAAGACTTGAACCTAGTTTGAAAGCCCTTTGATGCAGCGAGTCTGCAGCAATCCCCTAAATAGGTATCAATAAATTCTTTTTTCCACCTGCCAAATCCACTTAGCTTTGGGCATAGTAGCTCAGAAGGGATATGTTTTAATATCAGCTCCAGCGAGTGGTAATTGTTTCCTAATGTCTGAATGTAAATACTCAATGATTGTTTCCATAT